AAAAAAAAAAAAAAAAGGAAATGGAGAAATTGCTTGCTCAGTGTGTTCATAGCTTTCACATGCTATGACAGAAGGAAAAGAAAGTGTATTTAATATGTATTAAGTGATTTTGAGAAATCATAGACCTACACTCCCGTGTGGTTTGAAGGTAACTTTGTTATATTCTGTCACCTCAGAAACACTTTCATTTGATAAAATGCCAAACGCAAGGCATGAATAGTACTTGAAATATACAAAGTGACAGCTCTCAAACCAGTTCTTAGAGTTCTCATTGGAGATTCTAGTGTTCTTCTTCCTTTTCTTTCTTAGTATTCTGATTGCATTCCGGAACATTTATCTTTTTGAACAGTTCAGTTCTCTTATCCAGGGTAGTAGAGAATGCTGTAGATAATTGAAGACACCGCTTATGGATTCTTGGTTATAGATACCTATTTAAGCTCTGAGACCACAAATAATGTGGTAGACCGAATTGTGCAGAGCTTGATAGTTCTGAATCTCAGAGATGAGGTGAATATCTTTGTGTCAATGCCTCTCAGGATCCCAGTAAGAGGAACACTTGCAGTGAATCTAAGCAGACTTACGTATCACCCAGCTGGGTCTGGCAGGCCTTTCTAGTTAGTCCTGAAAATGGCATTTAAAGTCTAAGTAGACCTGACATTCCTTTCTGCAATGCAATTCCAGTCTCTGCATCTGTGGTATAATAATTCCTGATCCAAGAAATTACGCGCAGCTGAAGTGATTTAATGCTTCTCTATGAGTGTATCTTCAGATAGGTGTGACTGAGACATCTTGCAGTTAGGTTAGCAATATACAACATTCTTGATAAGCAAAGGTATGAGAGATCACTTGTGAAATGTAACTTGCAAAGCTACAGTCCAGTGTTAAATCTTGGAAACTAGCTTTAAAAGTAAACAAATGCTGGATTTACAATAGGATGGAAAATAATTTTCAAGTGAACTAAATACTTTTTAGAGATGGAACAGCCTTTTGAAGGCTGCTGTAGATGGGCGAGAGCCAGAGTAACCTGGAAGTTAAGCTTACTACCCGAATTGTACTGCTGTGTAGAGGAACGAGCTACCCACCAGTCCCTGCTGGTGGAGTCTGGAGAAGTGGCTTTTCAGTATTTGTGTCCTGTACTCTGTTTGAGCCTGTGAATAGAATTTGGCAAGTGCAAAAGCTTGTGCTTGGTTTAGATCTGTATTTAATATCCTGAATTGCAGTACACTTTGGACTGTGAATTCTTCAACGAGGATTCCAGAACATTACAGCTTCCTGTAACGCATCTCTTTTCATTTGGTAAGTATAGCATATTTTGGGAAAAAATGCAAAACTATTATTACTAACATTTGGATAACAAAAACTGTTATTACTAACATTTGGATAACAAAGTTACCTTAAAAATTCCAATGGCCAGGGAGGCTTTGGAGGGGTGGTTTTTACTAAAGTTAATACTGCTCTGGTTAGTAACAGACAAAGAAATGAAAAATCTGGGGATTTTGACTAACAGATATAGAAGCATGTAAGCCCCTTGGAAAAATATCTGAAGATGTAATGAGTTCTCAAATAATTTTATCAAATATGTGAAAACAATACATCCTTTACAGGGCTTTCTTCAAGCAAAATTCTTTTAAATTCAACTGGCTTACTTTACAATGTACAGCTCCAGCACTTTAACCAAGTAAGAATGGCACTTAATTTTTTTAGCTAACATAACCACTGTTTGGAGAATGTAAGCGATATTTTGTTTGGTTTTATGTTCTAGATATATCAAGCTTTCAAAATTTATGTAGAGAGCCACTGCCAGTCACTCAAAGGTAAATATCTCTTGTCTAAAGTATAAATTTATAAAACAAATCTTCTTGAAAATTTTCAAGAATGAAGCTGGTGGGAAAAAAAAAAGTCCTCTCATGCAATGTGGTTTAGGCAGTACTGTTAAAATCGGCTCCAGTGTCTCACTTCCCACTTTTTGTTAAGAAGGATAGTTCGAAGAAAGTGTGGAATTAGTCCACATATGTTTGCTTTTCTTACTTCCCAGCAAGGGGAAGTTGAACTTTAAGCAGGATTCTGCATTGTGTTGAAAGTGTTTCTTAAGAATAGCACATTTGCTAGGATTCTATTTGCTAATTATGGGACTCAAATTTGAATGTTGAGCTACATGAGCTTAAACAGAATGGCATGCTAAAGGACTTTGCCTCAAAAAAAAAAAAAAAAAAAAAAGAGAGAAAAATGATGGATTCACTAGCTTAAGGTTAACAGCTTTCTCATAACTGTCCTGCCTTTAAACATTGATGTCTCACTGTCTTGTTCTGTAACAGCAGGAGTTAAAAAATGTCATTTTTGCTCCATGTTAATTGCACTGATCTGCATTGTAATGTGAATTGCAATGTAACTGCAAGCACAGTGATTCTGTGTAGTGATCTACGTACCACCTTTGTTTTACTTGCAGTGTAGTTTCTGTAGACAGTCGCCACATCTTGTTCTTAATTAACTTTATATTTTTTAATTCTCTTCTATTTCAGAAAGAAAACCTAGTGTTTACAGACTTCATATACCTTGGTCACATGAAGACTCAATAATTGTAGCAAAGTAAGGAATTTAACAATTATACCTAACTTTTTGATAGGTTTTCAAAGAATGTTTACATCTTGTTGTGGTAATACTTCAGATATGAGACAACTTCTCCAGTCTTAAGTGTTTGGCTTCTGCATCTTTTCCTCATTTACCTTTCTGCCCTTGTTGACAGTTGTTTTGACTTAATAAGAATATCTACTAGTTGTTTGTTTAATACTTCTCACTAATTTTCTCTAAAAGGAGGTAAATTTTCTGGTCTGAAATTCTCAGCATAGTCTTTGACCCCCTCATGAGTGGGGAATGGAGATGCTGCTCTGGATGCTGGCTTCTTTCTGTAACCTTGAGTTTGGATCACACAGCAGCCCTGAGTTGCTTCAGCAGCATTGTCCTGACAAAATCAAATGGTAGAGCTTAGAATATGTGTCACTCATGAATTGCAGTTGAATAACCCGAGTTTATTTTAGAGGACTGGAAAAGAGTCTTCCTTGTTTATTTTAGAGGTCTTAAGGATACCTCCCTATATTTTCCCCCTGTATTTTCTAACAACATAATACTTGCAGGAAACTGAATTGTATTTTTGAGAATCTGCCCTTCCCGTTCTTGTCACTCAGCACATTTACATGTTTTATGCCGTAGTGTGTGTGCTAATGCTAAACTTGTCTGTTTCCATTAGTACCCTGCCCCTCCATAGTTCAGAGGACAGTGGATTTGAGAAAGTTAGGTAGTTCTTTGTGGTAGGATAAACAAGTTCATTATACTGTTTCGTTCATAGCTTGAAGTGTTCTGTTTTATGTGCACTTGTTGAAGACTAAGACAATGTTTGGCTTTTTTTGATTATAAGGACAATTACCAATTAAGTTGATGTTTCAGAGTTCCGTCTTTCACTGAGATCTCTGCAAAGCTGCATACAGCTCAACCGGAAAATGACAACAGGGTTCCAGAGTTAAATATTTACGCTTCCTCAGACTGTCAGTATGAAGTGAGTAATAAAAATTTATTTTATAGCTAGTATGCGTCACTTTTGAATAATTCAGTCTTTTAAAACATGTAGCTAATTAACCAAAAATAAATAGTTTGGGCTTTTGGTAAATGTAATGCATGCTACAAGTATTTTTCAACAGCTGGAGTACTGTTGAAAGTTGGCCTCTCATTTCTAAGAAAAGCTTTAAAGCATTTGTTTTTAAAAAGTCAGTAGTAAGCTCTTGTACGTTTAGTTATGGGATTGCTGAATTCCAATACTTAAGTTGGCTTCTTAAAGATAAAAGTATTTTGTACTTACTCTTAGCATTGTATAAAATAATAAAATATTTGGGTTTTGTTTTTTTTTATCAAGGTAATTCTGAAGACATCACTTGTACAGATTCTTGGGCAAGTAAGAAAACTTTCTAGTACTAGATTGCCTTTAATGTCTGTAGCATCTGTAGAAGTTTTCCCTTGTTCCCCTCCCTACTCTGGCACTTCAAATTCCTTCTTGATGCCAAGAGGAACACTGTTCAATGATCGTTTAAAAAACCTTGTCACTTGGCAAGGCATCCTGTCCGGACAAATGCCAGGCCTCAGTTTTCAGAAGATTAGAAAAGCACGCTGCCTCTAAAGAGCTATTGTAAATAGCTCTGTTGAGCATTTGGCTTTGGGGTCAGCCAGGTATCTGTAAAGGGATGACACTGTAGGTCACTTTCACTTCATTGCCTAATGAGTCAATAGTGCTCAAACTTTTAAAATGTGTTTGGCATCAACTAGAAGCTAGCAAAAAAAGTCTAAGTAGATCCGTATGCTCCTTTTCAACAAATTTCATTTGATTATCAATGAAGAATATATTTCGATATTGGTATCAGTAAAAATACACCAGCCATCTGCAATTTTCTGATTCTAAAAAGTAATTAATTTTCAAGCACCTAAGTGTAGTGCTAGAATATTACTAGCAAGTTGCTCTATTTGAATGTATGCATTTATATAAAGGATTTTTCATTTTGTTATTGTTTTAGGAGAATTTCTGTGCTATTGTATATTAATCAGGTATCTCTTCATGATTTGGGACAGTGGAAGCCAATTGACACTTCTATGAAATTCTCTGCCCAAAAGCATATATAACTACCTGCAGGTTTTGCTTAGAAAGTGTACTTTTACTTTTAAAATTTATTTTACTGAAATATCATTTGTACCATTAACATGCTACTGTGTTCATATTTGTCTTGACTTGAAAGAAAGGATTCATTTATTATTTGGTCATTTATCAAAACACATTTAATTAGCATTTATGAGATCTGAGGATTTTCCATATATAACATTAATTGCTAATGGTGGTTATCAAGTACTTCTGCATCAAAATGAGAAGCTATTTGAATCTTTTAAGAAAGATTTTTCTAATCACATTATCATACTGGATTCATGATAATATTTGTGTGTGTTTTTTAAAGGTATAGTTATATACATAAAGGTGTATATATATAAAAAAATCCTTGTCTTTCAGATAATAAGGTTCCATGCTGGCGCTCTTCCTGTCTATGTTGTTTCTAATATTCTTCTTACTTATGGAGGACAATTGAGCACGTTGATATCAACAGGTAGCCTTCTAGAAAAGTGTATTTTATTTTTTTTTGTCACAAGTGTTTTTAAAGAGATTACTTATCCAATGTACTGTTGAAAGAGTAGCTAGTTGTGAATTTTTTAAGCTAAGTATCATTGAACTTGTGCAAATACTTGGATCTATGCTCTTCAGTTTCAGTTTTCTTTGTTGGTGGTTCTCCAAGGTTGTGTTGCAGCAGAATTTCTGCAGTCCCTTCTTTGCAAATGATTGGTGTTGCACAATATTTTAGAATCAATATAATTCTACTTAAAAATTCATGAAAAAGTTTAAAATATATTGTTAATATGCAAAAAATGCTTTCTTGCATGACGATGAGATTCGCAGACTAACTTTTACTCATGTCTTCAGACAGAATGCATTTTTGTTTAAATCTGGGTGACAAACTCCGTAATCTCTCCAGAAGCTCTTGTCATATTACCTGAGTATGAGCATCCAGCTTATAAGGGCCTTGATGATGAAGTATGCTGACTTACAGTACTATTATAAGACATAGTTATCTTGGTTTAAAGTAAACTTTAAAACCTTTGTCTGAATTTACTTTTTATCTGGGGATCTTCTTTGCTAAAGTTCATGACAAAATAATTACTGTGGATGCTTTCTGTTCTTGATTCTAGGCCAGTGTTCGGACTTTTCCCTTGAGCTGGTTAGGACAGCTAAACCCTACAAAGTAGAACCTCTCATAAGCATTATTGTGTTTCTGCAGGGGTGAGTTTGCATAACTTACTTATTTAAAGCAGTTTCCAAAACAGAAGTTTCAGATAAGCTATTGGTGGAGAGGAATATTACTTTGCCTTGTAATCATTGTGAACAACTGACTGTGATTTTGCTTGAAAGGCTCTAGTAGGAGGACTAGTTGATATACGTGTTACTGTAATGGCAATTGGAAGTGATAAGTAATACTGCTTTCATGTTTTTGGCAGGTTTCACTGGTTTAGAGTGATATGGGAATCACTGTCACTACCGGAGGTGGATGCTGCTGTACTGAGTAGTCAGGATGCATGGTTCCCCCTTGTGTCCCTGATTCTGTTTCTTTTTGGGACAGGCATTGCCTACTGGAGTGGAGTATTTTTCTATACATCTCTGAGGCTCTTCTCTTCATTCTGGCTCACTCTGATTAGGTAAAACAACATTGTGCTATATAATTATGCTCTTTTAGATGACTGTGACTTTGTCAATTTTTTTCTGTTTTTTTCAATGTGGATGCTTGGGCAGATTGAATTCTGCAATAGAGTTCATACATGGTTTTAGCCATCTGGGTTTGTCATTGTTAAGCACTAATGACATATGAGGATTGCGTCATACTCCTTATTCCACATCTCCAAAAGGGAACATAAACGGCTTTCTTATTTCCTTCTCCAGCTGTTATAAAGGTTTTCAGTTTGTTTTTGTGAAAAGCTGCTCGGGGAAAAGAAAGCAACTGAACTATTCCTTTTTCAGCAGCTCAAAAAATAAATATATATGTTTAGAAAAGGGACTATAAGCATTGGTATTGGATAAAATACATTAAAGAATGCGACCGGGTTTGTAAAACAAAAACTTCTTTGTTATTAATTTCACTCTGCAAAACTGAATTTTATTGATCATGTCTAGGAACACTGAAATGTTTTTGCTTCTACAGATGAGTATTCAAACATGAAAGTGGGTTTAAAAAAAGCAGAAACGATAAAGAGATTTTAAAAATGTAAATTAGTAAATTTGATAACACACATAGGTATTTTAATAGTTTGAGTGTTCTGAAACTGGTAACAATCCTCAGCTAGATTTGAGCCAACTCTCTGTCTCCAGAAAGTTGGTTGGGATGCTCTTTACTCAGAAAATATCTGCTAAATGAACTCTCTTTTTTCACCACAAGCTGGTCTTATTCTAGCAAATAATAGATGTGGTGTCGGCTATTTCTTCTCAGCCATCTTGTTCATAAATTATAGTGGATTCTTTAGTGTTAGTTTTAAATGACAAAGTGATGAACTTCTAAATTTTTAAATGAATCTTGCTGAATTTTTAATGTTTTTAACTCAATTCATACACTTCATTAAAGCTTTTGATTTCCTGCAAACCCTGAGAATGTCTTAGGCAGAGGCAGGAAAATAAGATTTTGTGTGCCTGTCTGTAAGTCAGCTGGTTAATTTTGAAATTCTAGTGCCTTACATAGTTCTAGTATCTTACACAGTTTTTTATCTATTTATGAATTTCTTGGGAAAAAAACCACAAAGCCAACCCACATTTATTTTCCACAAATCTCTCTGAAGTAGATGGTATTCACTTGACTTTTGCTAAGTGTTCTGAAATGATCTGTTGTGGCCAGCAGCAAATAATTTGTCACTAGCTGTCTTTTTTCTTGTCAGCTAGCTGCCTTTTTGTGGTTATTTTCAGTATTTGTTGCAAAGGCTTTTAAAATTCTATTTTCCAAATAACACTTCTTCCATTTTCAGTGTCCATTTAATTACTGGAATATCCTTGAATATACAAGAAGGACAGAGTTTTTCATAGTTCTATTGCACTTCCTCCCCACTGCATTCCCCTCATGGTCACGCCTCCTCAGCTCACCCTTGTCATTTCACATTAATACTTGTCTCTTAGTTGTATCAGCTGGAATCCAGAAACTTGTGTCTCTCGGACACCGTCTGTGAGCAAGCAGAAATTCCTGCCTGGGAAGAATGTTTGTCACAGGATTAATTAATCTCTTGGAGACTTACTGTTTTATACTGTTGTACTATCACTGAACACTGCAGTGCATTAATATTTGTATTTGGTGTCACTTTCATGCTGTGTGGTAATAATAAGATGGTACTTGTTCTCATGGGCTGAAAAGAAGAACTTAGTGACTGATGCAGATCTACAGATAGCATTATCTAATGCTTTATGTTCATCAGTGTATCCTTTATGTTCCCCAAATGAAGTAAAAATAATACATTAGTTACAGACATACATTTTGGAAGGTGTAAGATTTTGTAGGTTCATTTGATAAGAAAGTTGAGGTTGTTGTGGTTTGTTTGGTTGTTGGTTGGTTTTTGTTTTTTCTTTTTAAAAGTAGCTCATGTAGCAATTGGTATATATGTTAACATTTTCTAACTTTTATTTTTTCCAGTGTTTAATCAGTGTTCAGGAGCAATTTATTCTTTTCAGTCACTCACAAAACAGAAATATTCTTTGATGTTGTTGCAAGAGTATAACAGCAGTTTTGTCTCTTTTTAGACCTACTGTACTTCATAAAGATAACAAGTTGATTACACCCAGAAGACTCTGCGGGGTATTATCCCTCGCTTTGGTTAGCTGGACCACTTGCGGTGCATTTGCTGTATTCATTATTTATCTTCAATACTTGTTTAAGGTACTGAAAGGCTAAACATTTTGAATTTATAACTGAATTTTGTATGATTTGACTTAACCCCACGTTAAAAGCAAAAATATAGATTACCAATTTTCATACTTAAATGTTATTATTCATGTACTTGAAATAGGTCTTTTTTTGAATTTATCAGACTCTCACAAACTTGTAATCTTTAGAATTATTTCATTCTTTTGATAATGCTTTTCAAAAAAAACCACAGTCCCATGTGTCCACTGCAATAATGCATATAATTGCGGTTTTTAATTTATGGATAGGTAAAGTTACAAAATCAAAGACTAATAACTCCCTTGAGGATAAACTTTAACAAAGGGAAGACTTGGAATGTTCTTTTGAAAACTTTTTATCTGAAAAGACTTTTCGCAAATCTTTGTGGAGTAGAGGAAGGAGGGTGGATACATTGTAGAATTAGGATAGTCTTATTGTATGTCTAATCTAATCCCATGGCTAGTGCCACAAAGACCCATATTTAGTCCCTGCCATTCTGTTTCCATGGTCTTCCTTGCATCAGAGCATCTCACATCTGATTCACCCTATGGTTATATAGCTGCTAAATCAGCTACTATACTTAGCTACTAGGGAAGAATTGGGGCACGCACCTGGGAGTAGGCGCAAAACAGAGCAGCTTACAGGTGGTCTGAAGGAGGTAGGTGGCAGCTGAAAGCACAGCCTGAGGAACAGCTCTAGCTCTAATTGAATGCCTTGTGACATAAGGTCACCCTGTGAGGGACATTCCCCTTTCTGCAGAAAATCTCTGACATGGGACTTTTCCTATGTGGCCTTTTATGGGTTTCTTCAGAAACTGAAGTAGAACTGAATTAGCAGGAGGAGGTGAGGAATATGCAGATTTTCCACTCTATATTCTCTGTCAAGCCCAGTGGAAGGGGAGAAAGCAGAGCAGCATGAGTTCTCTCTCTGTGCTTGGAAATCATTCCTTAAGGGAGCATTTTGGATGCTGCTGATAAAAAAGGCAGAGGGAGTTCTTGCTTTGAAGCTTCATTCGGGCCCTAGAATCACCGAGCTATGAAAAGGGTCAAAAAATAATTAGCCCAAACTTTTTTTTTTCTTGTATACTACAGCTTTTGTGTGAAGAAACATTACTAAAAAAGCTGAACTGTCTGTCTTGCAGGTTATACAACTACATGTGAATGTAAGAGTAGAGCAAAACATGCTTAATGGGGTAAGTCTGTTGACAGCTTCTATTCAAAATTGTGGCCAAAAATTGTTTGGCAAACCTATGCATTACAAATTGTTATCGTCTTGCCTTAGTAGCATTATGTTTTGCTGTGAGGCCTGGATGGCTGTAGTTTCCTTGCTGTGTGTAAGATGTGAAAGAAAAGCCAGGATATGAGGAGCCTTTTTCATCACGTATGATTCTTGCGTTTGCTGCTCGAGATCACTGAAGTGTGAACTTGTTTGAAGTTCATGTAAGAAGAAAACTTAGTCTCTGAATATATACAGAATAATAGGGTTTGCCTAAATTTTGGTATTTGATTATGCATGCCTCATCTAAAGAAATAAATCTCATTTCTAGATGTTACTCTATACTAGAGGTGAATATTTTTTTTTTTGCAGTGGAGTTTAGGTACATGTTTTAATCAGGAGATGACAAATATGATTTACTAGATTGATGTGGACTGAGACTGCAGTAAATTGGGAGCTGTTTAAAAAGGAGTAAAGAAGCATTGGTTTCATGCATTGTGAACTTTGTTTTTTCAGTTACTTTAAGGTATAGAATCCAAGATGTAAGCCTGTGTGGATACAAGCAGTTATTAACTACCTATTTTTTTTGCAAATATAGTTAAAACTGCAGTCTGCCAGAAAAAGTTGTTGACAATTTTCCTTGGGTTTTGAGTGTTTTGTGTGTTTAAATACTCCTCTTTTCATCTCCATGTAATTTTTTTGTTTGTTTGTTTCATTTGTGTGGTCTTTTCCTGTCATTAGAAGTTAGCAGCTGCCAATTCATTAGTTTATCTTTGCTCTTTGTTCCTACAGCTAATGTTTTACTCCCGGTTGCATTACCTCCTTTATCTTTTTCCATGAATGATCATCTGTGATTTTCACCTGCATGCTTTATTCTTTTTATTCTGTTCTTCCTCCTTCCAGGAACTCCATTTCTTATCACTGCATTGGTGTCAGGGCATCTCCACTCTCCATTCTTTTCTTCCAAAGACATATGACCTATTAGTGTAAGAGAAATTTCTGGTTAAATATAGATATTTTAAAATTAAACTATTTAACTTTGCTTTTGATGGCATATTGAGAGATAAATTGCAAAGTTTCTTAAATCAGAGCTGGTATGATACTGCTATGATAGTTTTTCCCTCCTCCTCCCCCAGCATGGGTTCTGACAACTCTGTGCTTGTTTTATGACTTTTGCCTTTAATTTTCAGGATTCAGACCGCTCAAAAGAAACTTCACAGAACTCCAGTATGCACACAGTCAAACACCAGAGCTCAATGGACAGTACCTCAAAAGCAACACAATCGCTTTCCAACTCTACAACAATTGCTGAAGCCGTTAACAGTCTTAAGATGCATGTTACAATTCTCAATTTATTCACGTGGATTGTGCTGCTCAACTTGCCATCTTTAATTTATTGGTTAAAAAATCTCAGGTAACTTCCTAAATTGCCAGTAAGGTGGAAGAAAAGAATATGAACCTTTAAAGATAGTAAAAATTGCAAATGTTTGACTCTTATTATTAGCTACCTTATAGTATCAGAGACTTCTGTTAATTATAATTGGTTTTTCTATGCAATCTGGTTTATGTTAGGATCTAAGTCGGCGTTAAATAAATCAGTGATATGCTGAAGGAAGTAATGATTCAGAAAGGATTTAAAATCGGGCTGTGATGCCATATTCATTTCATGTGTGTTTGCTGTTATCAGCACATGCTTGTTCCCAACTTGGATTTTATTTGGTAGCCTAGTTTAGAAGTAACACACTTTTTAAACCCTTTTTTTTGCAGGTACAATGTTAGACTTGATCCTGATCCATGTAGATCTACAGCTATTATCCTTGTATGCATTTTAGAAATTCTTATGAATTCAAGTACTTCTGAAGTGAAATCAAGGTACTGTAGCCTAATTCCCGGTTTGTTTTCCTGCTTCTTTCTTAGAACTTCCATTTGTGTGGTAAAACTGAATTTATACTGCACAGACACGTAATTATCCAGTCTACATAGACTCGTATGGTTAAATCTTAAAGACTGGGTAAAATGCATACAAATTGCCTGTAGTTCAGCGAAGTGGAGAAAATCACTGGTATTTACCATGTGGACTTAAATGAAGTATTTTCTATCTAAGCAATCAGTTGAATAGACTTCTTTAACTGTGACTTTTTCATTCACAATTCATTGACATCTTCCAAACGTTCCAGAATCCTGATAGATTTAGCAATTACTGTCAGAAGTTATAAGGAAAAGTGAATTCTAAACCATTACAGTTTACGTTCTTGTCATAACTTGCTTTCTATTGGATTAAGAAGTTTTGAGCACTTGGTTTTGCTGACAGGTAGAGCATTTCTTGTTCAGATATAAAATTAATGCCTCGTGAAAGACAATGAATAATAATCAATGTAGTTTATCCTCTTGACTGGTACCTATTAACTCAAATGATCTAAACCATCTGTCCTTGGTACAGAGAACTTATTTCTAAATTAACATAAGAATATTTTAAAATTACTTTTTATTATAAGCCTTTTGGAATAATTGCTCTTGCTTGTGCATCAGTTGTTATTGTCCATTATGCTTATTTGTTCTGTTTTAAAAATGAACAAACCCTTAAAATCTAGAAATTACTTTTCAAAAGAAAGTGAAATGTGGTATTTGCGTATCTTCTGCATGTATGGCTACAAAAATGGCAATTTTTTCTTTATATTCTTACAGTAAACTCTTGAAGATCGCAGCCAAAGTTCCACTCCCTTTGTCTGTTGCAATGTTGGCCTTTGGACGAATGCATTTATACAAAGTACCACATTTTGTAACCTTTTCTCTTCTTCTACATGTGCTGTGTTGTTTTGTGTAATGTTTGTTGTACGTGGGGAGAACAGTGCACCCTAGAGACTTAACACTGGAGACAGGCAAATTTCAACAAAGAAACGGCTAGATTAATATCATCAGTAGTTTACACAATGTGGGAAAGAGGACAGAACTGTGAATACTTGATGAAAAGTTTGTGGTTCTGTTCATGTTGCTTAGAAAGCCTTTCATGGTGTGAAAATGTTCACAGGACTGTGAAAATTAAGTGAATTAACTTTGTGTGTATGTAAGCACAGAAATCACGTTAGTGTAACATCTCAATACTCTGTTTGCCTTGTAGACACTTTGATATTTCACTGTACTTCTTTGTTGAAAGAGACATTTTTTTACTCTCTATGCCATACGGTCCATGTGTTCTGAACTTGTGTCTTTTGCAGGTCTAAATAATGCTGGTTAAAACTCAATACATTTCAAGCACACTGTGACTATCACAAAAACTACACAGCCAAGTATACTTTTAATCATTTTATGCTACATTTAAAAGCTGCCACAGTTGTGTCCAGACAAACTAGAATGTATTGCTTCTATAGAACTGTTATTTCTATCAAATCATTTGTTCAATCACTGTGAGTTGAACATTCGTGAGATTATTAAAAAGTCTTACACATTTTACTTTTTGTGAGAGTGAGCAAACAACAATATTCTGTGTAGCTTTCTATTCAGGAAGGATACCAGCAGATTCAGAAACAATTTGCTGTAATGTTGTTTTAAAACATTGCCGGTTTTCTCTGGAATTTTGTCAATTCTGCAACTGCTCCTTGGCCCTTGTCCATCTGTTGAAGCTGGCCAACCTTGAGGTATGGTTTGAGTGTACAGTGCAGTTGCTGTACCGCACTGTTTCCAAGTAGACAAGGCAGGGGTTTTTTTCCTATTGTAAATGGAGAATCAGCTGTCTCATAAGAAATGTCCATACATGAAATGAATGTGGAATAGTTACAACACTGTAAATTATGCTCTGCCATACGGTTCTGACTTCCTCATGTGGACAAGCTTTTAGTAATACTGGGAAATACTGACCATAACTATTAGCTCTGTACAAAGTATTATCTTAGTGCCTAGATGCTACAGTGACTGCCATTTATAACAAAGCCTAAAATAGCTATATATAAGGGATTCTGTCCCCTGGGTATGTGTTTTGCCAACAGAAGAAATCTCGGTAGCCATTAGGTTAAAATGATATACTGATTCTGTGTAGAGATGAGCCTAGTACTTGCTTCTGTGTTAGCTGTCTCCACTCTGTCTGAGATACCCGTTATCTTCGTATGGAAATACTAGACCAGCTCAGCCATCTTACACAAGTAATAAGATGAAGTCTGCTACCCACAGTCAATCAAGTATATTCTTGATATAGTATTGCAGCTAGCCTGACCCGTTAATTTTATTGTATCTCATTAATCTTGCCTAAAGTGCCTCAGTTAGTTCTAGCGTGTTGTTAAGGCAAATTTATTTGAGCTGGCTGGAAGAACTTAATTAGCACAGTGACTTTCCAAAATGAAGGACAGATATGAAGTAAGCGTGTATTTCTCTGCTTATAGCCAAATCAGCAGTTCAAGTTATCAGTAAGTCATTAAAACTGCTTAAAATGAGTAAGACTATTGTAGTTAACCAAGCCACTGTTACTGTTACCAGTAATCTATGTGCTGCTATTCTAGTCTTAACCTTTTTAAAAAACGGTTAGATTATCTCTAGGGTTTGTAAATCAGAAAAGGTATTTGAATAGATTATATCTTGATACTTTCTAATAAAATGTATGCTACAGTATATATATATAATTTCTATGTCTAAATATACTTGTAGCTAAATCCACCAGTTGGTTTAACCTAAAAGTTGCTGCTCAGACATAGAAGAATAATTTTTCTGCTTTCAAAAGGCTGTGATTGAAAGATAATGGCAGAACTGCATTGGAGCTGATAAAAGGCCATCTGGGAGCTGTGTAGGATCTGATTTCTGCAGAAGATGATTTTCCTTGGCCTTCATGGTCCTTTTGGCTTACTACTGTATTTTACTTTATGCAGGAATCCATTTGTTGGAGCTGTTGGTGGAATAAAATAATAATCAGAATAATGAGAGCAAACAGTCTCTGCACGTAGTAGCTTTGATAGCTTCCAAAATCTGCCACAATTTGGGATTTACTGAATTTCAGCAACGTATAATACCATTTTTTTTAATTTAATGATATTTTAAAAGCTGGGAATTGTATTGATATGTGTTACCAGTCCTCATGAAATGGGATACAGAATCTTGCATCGATTCCTACCTGATTTTCAAGTTGGAGGTAGGAATAGATATAATCCTGAGTCCGAGATCCCAGATGACAGAATTTACCATATGTCCCTAATGCTCCCTTTTTTTCAGAGGTGGTTTACTTTCACAGGGGGAAGGAGGGAAAGTCTTACTGCTACTCTGGATTTAAATGCATTCTGTGTCATTGGTTAGATGAAAACTGCTTTCAGAGATGCGTGTCTGGATTTTGCAGTGATTGTGGACTGTGTAACTTCAGCTATTTGAAAGATTCGGTGTCTAATCCCAACTAGATTTTCTATATAATCAGTGGAGGGGGATAGGATTAGAATAAGTCCAGAGGACAATTCATCCTATTCTAGGAGAAGATGAATTATCCTACTTGTCATTCTGAAAAAGACAAGATTTTATAAGAGTCTAAAATTGTTTTTCAGATAAAATGCAATGATTGTTGTTACTTTTGGAGAAGAGGCTTCTGTTATGTGAATCTCTAAATCTGCCACTGTTCACAATTAGAATCTCAGCAGAAACATAGGGTAATTCAATATAAATAATTTTAATTGCATGTGGAAGAAAGTGTAAATATTACTGAAATATCCTTCATTATGAGTAGTCTGCATTTATAAAACAGCTTTTGGCAAATATATCGTAATGTCTCAGTACCTTTAACTAAATTAAAATTTGAGTTTATTCTTCAAATTTTAGATTATCTAGACTGGGAGAAAATCAAGACACAAATTAACTTGTAATGAATTAGACCTTTGCTCTATAAGGGAAGATTTCTGTTAACGTGCAGAGACCCAAATTCTATTCCGTCCTTTTTCAGAAGTTGAGGTATTAATTTTACAAAACCTACAAAACCTTCATCTATGTGGATGTTCACCACATTTAGATGGAGATTAAGCCACATAAGCATTTGGGTCGAGATTAAGCCATGGTTTGTTGGCTTTTACCTCAGGATGCATTCAAAACAAGAACTATTTGTGTGGCTCTTTTCTAATATTTTTTTATAAGCTATCAGAAATGGAGTAAAAAAACAGGGTATGAACCTAGAGTACTAAATGTCACTAATTTTAGATACAGCATATATGTACAGAAGAATCTTTCTTTGGCAGGGGCAGAGGGAGATTGAATGAGATGCTTTTAGTGGAATCTCCATACCCTTAATTGCTCTTGAAGTCTGTAATCTTTTCTGGTTGATATGGTCAAATGTTTTTCTCATAGTCTTGTGGTGCCGCAGTCAGAGTAGCTACATCTGTAGCTATCAGTTCATAAAAGGTCTACGCTTGTGTGGTAAGGAAAAACTGTTGCCTCTTAACTGGAATTACCAAATGTACCTTGAAACTGAATGAATGCATGTTGTCCAAAGGTGGTATTTTCAATTTTGATTTAAAAACTGGTTGCAGTATGTCATGTTTCAGTGTCCTGGTAAAAGGGGGATTGGTTTGGGGGGTTTTCGTTAAGGTTTTGTTTGTTTGGTGTCAAAAAAAAAAAAAAAAAAAAAAAACAGAAACTGGAATTTAAATTAATATTTCTAATATTTAGAGTTCTGCTCTGATTTTTATTTTGAGTGAGCTGATACATGTAGCAATTCATTCCAAATCATTAATTTGCTAAATTTTTAAAACAAACAAACAACACAACAAAACCCTAAACAACGTAGTAGTAATATATTGTAGAAGACGTAGAGACTGCCTGTATGTCTAAGTGAACTCTTCAACTATAACCTAATGGGGCTACCTTTAAGGTCAGTGTTTAAAAAAATAAAATAAAATATGTTAATACTTAAAAAAAACCAAAAAGCATTGTTGCATACCTTGGTATTTGATGCAAAGTCTAATTTTCCATGTGTTTGCCAGTAACAAGGTTATAAACCTGTTACTTGACTTTTTCTGAAATCTTATACATTTGCTTCTAAGCTTTGACAGGACAGAATAAAGTCTGTTATGTGCCTGTGAACATTTGAGAAGCTTTCATTTCATTCAGGTTTATTTCAATTCAGTAATGAATTTTTAGTCTTTTGTCTTATACTGAGAAAAAACCAGCCATTTACAGACCTTCAATACTCTGAGTTACTGAAAATGTTTTTGGAAGCACTTCTAGTGTCTATACAACAGTTGTGCTGCTGTTTTAAGTCACTAAGCTACTAGAAAATTGTTAGCTGTACAACAGACTAAATTCTTAATGCTTTTCTTCCATTTTGTGATGAATGTTGGTTACTTAATTTACAGCTTTGTCTTTTTACATCTCTTTTTTTTTTCCTTTTTTTTCTGGGAGATAAGCTAGCTGGCTTTTATAAGCACTTAGCACTGTACTGTAAAAGGTTTTAGAACTTTCATCACCATTCATTTAGGGGGGACGTACTTTTGTCACCAAAGGTACATGCTGCTCTTATATACCTCTGGAAATACGTGCCAGTGAATGACAATTGAGAACAGATTCCTTTTTATGTTAAAGTAAACTAGTTTTTCTACCTTTTTTTTTTATATAGAATTTTAAACTACAATTCATAAAAGAATCCTTAAAATCTATAAAAGTTTATTTGAAGATCTTTTACAAATATTATATTTTCTGATGTATATTCTTATTTATGGAAGAATGCATTCAAAGCTTTTAATCATCTCATTTATCTTAAAGCTCAAATAAAATCTATAATTTTCATCCAGTTCATAAACATTACTGCTCTTAAAAATAAATTTGAAGCATTTAAGGAGAAAATTCTATACCTCTTACTTAAACAAATCTGTCCAGCACCTCAATTTTTCCGGTATCTAAGCATGTAACTGCCTCAAATATGTGTTTATTGCCTTGTACTGTGAAAACCTGAGTCAAAGCTGGAATGGTTTGATTTTAATTTTGCTTAAGATTTAGGATGTCATTCTGCCTCCTTAAATGCAAACAGATTTTGCTACTTTTGCTGTCATAAAGAAATCTTGTAAGCGTGGCCTCTCTACAGTTATTGGCAGGTTGCTGTCTAGATTCTTTAGGAATCTGTGTGGTATCAGAGCTAATTTTTTGTTTATAAAAGTCAGGAATGGCACACACAAATTTGTTATTTTGCGGCACATCATTCCAGTTCCTCCTTACATACCCAATTATCCCTGGTTTGCAGTATCTTTCCACTGTAGTACAAAACAAAACGTTCACAGTAAGAGCAGGCACCGTGACTGACCTGATGAAGACACACAGCAGCTCTCCTGTCCACCGTTCTTCTACTGACAAATTGCTGGTTTGTTGAAATACCAGCAAAGACTCTGTTTCCCTCCAACTTAAATAATTTCAGGGTATATATATTAAGTATCAAATGTGCAAAAGTGTTGATGTTTAATTTTATAAAATGGTAGGTGCATTATATTGGGATCAATTCGGGCTTCAGTATTTTCCACCTATATCACTTTGAGAGTGAAAACAGTATTTGAGGCTGCAGCACCTGACAGCTGAAATAGTTTACAGAAGTCTAGAAGTAGTAGACGTGACACACATAATTAGAGTGCCAGACCAAACCTGAAATGTGAAATTCCTCACTGTGACTTTAAACTTGTAGCTTTCTAGAGAAAAAAAGAAAATACCGTGCCTTAATCCAGTAAATTAATACAGTCTAACTGTAGCCTGTGGACTTCTGTAGCCTTATATTTGATTTTTGAAGTTGACCAAAAATATTTGTGTGGATCATACTGAAACTTGATTTGGGGAAAATACTTCTAAAGAAATTATTTTGACCTCTTTTTACTACACTTAGAGAAATGAAGATTTATAACAATTACAGTATATTTGTGGTTTGGAATCCCACCGACCAGTTCAAGCTTTAGCTGACCTTAAGTTTTCAAGTCTTTCTATTGTGATGAAAAGAAAAATAAGGAAGGAAAACTGTTCTGAGATACCTGTCTCAACTTTGAAGTCTGTGTCTTTTTTTTTTTTATTTTGTTCTTTTATTTCTTAAAAAATTCCTCTAATTGTAGTTTAAGCAAAATGTTATATTTAAGCCATTGTGTATCAATATCTACACCAGTGTGCGAAGAAAAGTAGAAGGTTGCTTCTTGGGGCGAGTGGGGTGAAGTTGATTTGTTGTTATAAAGCTCCAGACGTTTGAATTAAAAATTTCAATTTTTAGCGAAAACATTCATGTATAAAACCCTGAAAAGTTGGGGGGGGGGGGGGGGGGG